TGCAGACACTCTGAAAACAGCTATTGCTAAAGCCTTGACTGAAGATTCAGTGTTTCCAAGGTCAACAGTGAGAGGGACTGAGTCCTTAAAACAGACCCTGTTCAGCTACAGCTGTCCAACTCCTTCCCTAAACCTGCAGCACTCACCTGTAAGAGGGAATTTGTGCAACGGCCACCACAGGCATGGATGAACGCCCTTTGGTCGTGTCACTGGGTTCCTTTTTGATCTTTTGCTTCAATTTCACTTGGTTCTTCTTCACAGACCCTTTGGGAGGGCCAGAATTGGCTTCCTCCTCTTCCTCCTCCTTCACAGTGACCTCCTGCCAATCACCACCAGCAGCTGGACACCCTCTTCTCACCGTGCCAGGCGGGGAGTGGCTCTCACAGTAGGCAGTCTTGCGCACGGTGAACGTCGTGCCGTTGATGCTGGTCTCCCTCATGGGCTCAATCTTCATGAAGAGCCCGGCTCTCTGTGCACAGGTGACGTGGAAGGCAGTGTAACAGTTCACCTTGTGGCATTGGATAGCAGCTCCCATGCCCTTCTGCTTGCAGATACAGCATGTGAGCTTCCACCGAGCTGGAGGGATGTTATTGATCCCTTCGATGGGCTCCAGGAACACAGTGTTTGCAAAGCAGACCTCTGGGATCCAGATGGCACAGACCACGTGAGCCCAGCGGCCGTCGCTGGTCTGCTTGAAGGCTCCCCCTTTGTTTGGGCAAAGGACACAATCCACAGGGCGAGAAGGGGACTGTAAACAGCAGCGGCAAAGCCACTGCCCCTCAGGGATGTAGGGCACACCGTAACACTCCTGGTGCACGGCCAGATTGCAAATGTCACAGAACAGGATGACATTGCTGTTGTGACACTCATCGTCCATGCAGACACAGCAGAAGGCATCCTCATCGATGAGGGACTGCTGAGCCCCGTTGTTTCGGCTCTCAAGGTACGACTCCTTTTCCAACCGATCCACCAGCAGCTCAAAAGTGTCAGCAGAAACTGTCCCATAACCATCAGCCCTTCTCTTCTCATTGACCATCTCCAGCCATGCCAGATCCTCCTCATCCATGTCATACTCCACTTCTACGTCGAGGTCCTCGGGAGGCTTTTCAATATACCGGTAGTAGGCAGCAGGGAGGGGAGGGGCATCTGGCTGGCTGAAGGAGTCCACCACACGGAACTTGGGCTGGGGCAAATGCAAAGATATCCCCGGCGCATGTTTGGAGCAGGACTCCTTCTTCTTGCCTTTGGAAGGTGTTTTCTTAGATCTGGAAGTGAAGAGGGGCTGCTCACTGTTCTCCTTGTTGCTGTTGCACTCGGTGATGTCCTGGGCTGTCAGCTCGTCCTCGGTGATGAGCTTCAGGGGGTCGTAGATGCTGATGCGATGGAGCCGCCCGTCGATGTCCACCTCCACGATGCGCTGGGCCTGCGCGTAGGTCAGCGTCTCGCGGGTGGGCGAGCACTTGAGGCTGTAGGGCGAGGGAGAACGCCTCCCCTCCAGGTGCTGCCGGCACCTCCTCCGAGGCTTCCTCATCCCTGTGGTCCAGAGACCCTGGGACACAACAGCACAGAGGACAGGGTAAGACAAGGAGACAAGCGAGAAGCAGCACAGACTGAAAAACTCACTCAATGCTGCAATAGTATGAATTCCTACCAGACACTCCAGTAACTTCAGGCTTCCCGAGTCTTTACACCTCAGATACAGGCAGGTTTTGATATATCAGCCATTTCTTGCAATGTGTATCAGAGCACAGCACCCTCCAACTTCCTCTATTTGCACCTCAGATGTACATTCTACCACACCACCAGTGAGAAAACCTCAAAATAATTTGACAGCACAATATACAAACAGTCTGCTGTGCATCCAGATCAGCAAACCATTCAGATCCCCTGAAATTCAAACAACATTGTTCACATCTTCTTGCACCATTTACATATCAAGCTCACACAAACCAACAAGTTCTCCTCTGCTCTTTTGCCTGTGACTTTTCATTTATATTCCCAAATGTGCTGGTTGTTTTCCAGGTGAAAAGGAATGCACTATTCGGGTCTTATGAATGCTATTTCCAAATTAATTCTTTTTTTTGTCAGCTCCAGATGAGAAAACTAATGGTTCTCCCTCAGTCCAGGAGGGAGCTCCTCCAGGTTTCACAGCTCAGGGCTGCCACCACCAATCCTTCCATTCTGACACTGCAGATGCAAAGTCCCATAATGAAAAATCATCCTCCAGCTTTGCTTTTCCTTCTGTCAAGGGTCACAAACAGAACCAGAGGATGAACTGAGCAATGCAGCAGAGACAAGATGTGAAGCCCTTCTGCTCTTCCACGAGGAAGCAAAGAAGGATAAAAAGGCAACAAGCAGCATGGATCTGAATGGACTTACAAGCTCTGGCGTTAGCCCCTCTGGAGCCACAATTCCCATTCATCCACCTGAGTCACCTGGCTATGGAGAGTCCACAGGGCTCCAAGCAGGAAAGCAGCAAGACAGCTCCCAGCACCAGGAGCCGTGAAATGGCATTTGCTCAGAGCCTTAACAAAAAGCCCCAGCCAGCTCTGCCCGCACAAACTGCTAATCAGCAAGCCAGATAATTAGCTGAGAGTCGGCTGCTGACATTAAGGAGGTGCCTGTCAGAGGGGAGCAGAGGAGAAGCCTGGGGAGATGGTCTGGGGGAGGATTCAGACATGGTGGCTGCAGCTCGGAGATCGGAGGGTGAAGGAGGGAGCTGGCAAGAGGGAAAGCAGAGAGGAAGCCAAGTGAGTAATGCAAGAGAGAAGGGCAGAGTCAAGGATGGGAACATGACTTATGGGAATAAACAAGCTGAGGCTGAAAGAAGTCAGAAAGGAGACAAAGAAAAGCAAATGTAAATTCTCTGTGAGAAGATAAGCCAGCCCAGACTTATCTGTTGCTATGCAGAGGCCTGAACCAGCACCTCACCCTTATTTAAAGCAATCCACGCATTCAGTTCCTTTCTGTGGGACCCACAGACAAGGAAACACATTACAAACCCACTATTTGTACTCAGCCAATGCAATATTTGTACTCCATGAAGGACATAGTTCCAGAAACTCTCAATTGTGTGCCACAGCATGCAGCATCTCACAGGACCAGGACCTATAAGAGGTCCAAGCTTATTCCAGAAAGAAGGAGCAAATTCCAGGAGCTATTTAAAAAACACATCTGTAAGATAAAATCAATGGATGCCAGAGGAAAGAAACAACCGAAAGCAGTTGCAGTCCCCTCTGCACCTTTTGCCAACCAAAACACCAGCAAAATTCCTGCTGCCCTTGACAATGTCCCTTCATGTTCCTGCCACATCTGTGCTTGCCCATGGTCCCCTCACACTCCTGCCAAGGGTTTATGCTCCTCACACTGACATTGATGCCTGCAATGAATTGTGTCGGTGCCCAAGACATGTGACAGAGCTGCTTGCCTTGGCACACGCAGAGATCTCGATCTTTATCAATGCCCTGGTGCTGCTGTAACCAAGCCAAGCTGATGGAGATGCAGGGCCCCTGAGAGAGGCCCTCCCTCTGGAACAGGGAGAGCACGAGACGGGCCATGGGTGAAGTTTCAGGTATAAAGTCAGGGCTCGCCATGAGCGGTGTCAGATCTCAGCAGCCGCTGAGGGAACGGTGACATGCCCTCAGCTGTCAGGCACTGTCGGGAGCTCCTCTCAGGAGCTACCCCGCGCACCGAGGGCTCCCTGAAGGGAACTCCAGTAGCAGCCAGCGCTGCGAGCCAAGGCACGGCAGGGACCCGGACAGGAACGAAACCGTCCCGGGGGGAGGAGAAGGCGATGAACCCGCGGGACCGAGCCGCGGCCGCGTCTCCCCACGGAACGGCCACAGCCTCCAGAGACAGGGAGCGGGCAGCGCGAGCGCAGCAGGGCTGCAAGGCCATTGGCTGCCGCCGCCGTCCATCACAGCGCCAGCACCAATCGCAACGCGAGTCTCCGCGGGGCTAACGGCGGGTACGCTCGGCCCCGCCTGGGCCAATCGCGTGGGAGAAGGTGGGCGGCGCCCCCGCCGCGCCGCGAAGAAGGGGGGGCCAAGATGGCGGCAATGGGGGGGCCCGGCTGACACGGCGCTGCCCGTTCCCCGGCCCCGGGCGCTCTCCGCCGCTGCCCCCTCCTCGGCGAGGGATCGCGGGCCGCTCTCGCCGCACGGAGACGGAGCAGGGACGCGGGAGAGGCCCGCAGGCTGCGGCGCACCGGCCTCCCCCAGCTCCTTCCCGCCCGCCCGGTCACCTTCCCGCGACCCCGGCGCGGGGGTGTGTGAGGGAGGAGAGACCCCTGAGGGAACGGTGTCGCGGCCTCCCGCGCAGAGCTTTACCTGGCCGGCTCGGCGCGCCGCTGCCGCGGCTTCTCCACCGTTGCCGCCGCCTCCTTTTGGGGGGAAATTTTTGTTTTTGTTTCTCTTTTCCTTTTTTTTTTT